ATTTCAGGGCAAATAAGGTGCCTTTGTGTGTCCAGGGGGTGCTAAGCCTGAGAACAGTGAAATCCTGTTACTATGACCCTGGGCAGATGGGAAGCAGCAGGTATTGGGCAATAGGGGGGGGGTGTCTATAGCCGCCCCTCAGTGTGTTCATCCCCACCCTGTGAGCATCAGTGAGTGCAGGGGCAGGGGCACAGGTGGGAGATACTGACTTGGCTTCTAGCCCTGGTGTCTCCACAGGCAGGTTGCGTAGGTCCTGCGCCCAGGGGCCTGGGGAACCTGGATCAGTGGGTGACGCCAAGAGCAGGTTGTAGATGTGGCCGACCCAGCTCTCCCCGACCTGGGCAGAAACCTGATGCGGGCTGTCCTATAGCTTTTCTCTTCTTCCACCTTCTGTGCCCTGGACCCCTGTCAGGTGGGCTCTGAGCTGTATCTACTCAAGGTGGAGTTGATTCCTCTCACTCCCCCAGGGTAGGGAACTAGGGCTTCAGCACTAGAGCTAGCAGGAAGTGACTGGGACCAAGGAGGAGTCCGGGGCATCTCATTTGCTCCCCTGCTACCCTCCCCTTTGATTACGAGTTAAAGCAGCAGCGACACGGACTGTGCTCAAACAGGGGCGGCTTGTGGGGCTGAGCTGCTTTGATGCTCCCCGGCCAGTTTCAGTAAGAGGCCATTTTTCTCCCCACCATCATGCCCCGGGACTGGTTTGCCATTGGCCCTGACAGCGCTGCATTGTCCCGGTGTGTGAGCGGGGATAAACACTCTGGCCCGGCCAATTACAGAAAGAAGGGCCACAGATGGCTTGTTCGAAGACACAGGTCCACACTGGGGATTTTCCTTCCTGACGGGCAGCTGTGGAGAGGCAGGAGCAGGCTGCTGAGGGCCGGGCTGTCCCACGGGATCTCCTTGGCAACCCCACCCCACCCTCCACCCCCAGCCCAGAGCCACAGGGCGGCTGTGAATCTGCTGCGAGGTGCTCACCCTACCTGCAGTGCAAGGGCAGTGTTTTGCTCAGTGTAGTTCCTGAGCTGCTGGAACATGGATCAGACTCTACCGCTTAGCTGGCCCCCATTCAAAGACTTGGGTGGGACCCTGCGCTTAGGACTGATTGGCCTCCTGGTGATCGTGACGCACCCTGCGATCTCTCTCTCTCTCTCTCTCTCTCTCTCTCTCTCTCTCTCTCTCTCTCTCTCTCTCTCTCTGTCTCTCTCTCTCTCACACACACACATGTGTGATATTATATGCACCCACATGTGTCTCTGAGCCCTGCCATCCCTTTTGTCTTGGCCTCAAACAATGTCCCAGCTGAGGTCATTGCAGCCGCCCTCTGAGATGCAGGGCATGGGTCTCTGGTTCCCAGTTTCCTTGACCTCTTTCTGGTTTTTGCTTTCTTTTGTTTATTTGGGGTCCACGCCTTGGCAGTGCTCAGGAGAGACCCCCAACCCTGCTGGAGGGACCATAGGTGGTGCCAGGGGTTGAAACCGGGGTTTGCTGTGTGCAGGGCAGCGACTCATTCCCAATATTTTCTCTCTGGCTCCCTGCAGTTTTCTCTGTATAAGAAATGATCCCAAATCCTGTTTCCAGGAGCACCCACCCGCTGCCCGCCATATTCCCTCCTCCCCATCCCGCAGAGGTTCTGCCAGCACACCATGGGTTTGTGAATAGGCCCCAGATGCCCTGTTCTTTTCCTAAGAGGTGACCATCCTGCTGGCTGGGAGGAGGTGTTTTCCTTGTGGCGTGTTGCTGGGTGTGCCACAGTTACACGGGGCTTCTGGGACATCTGTGGCCCATTCCTGCAACTGACCAGGCCTGGGACTTGGTGGTGTTTGTCCTCATTTCACTTATTTTTCTCTTATGTTTTTTGCCATTATTTCCCTTTTCTTCTTTTCCCGACTGCAAACATCCTTTTTAGTTCCTCTTGTATTCTGCAGCTCTTAGCTGGCAGCCTTGATTAATTTTGGAAGGAAGCCGTTTCAATAAATAAAGTGGAATGCTTTTTGTTAGGAGAGACGATGAATATGCACCAATTAGCAGTTAATAAGCAAGGCCTTTTAAGTGGTCTTATGCACCTGGGGCTGTCTGATTTCCAACCCTCCCCCGCCCTCGCCTTGCCTTTGGGCGGGGAGTGAGAACTGGTTTGAAAACCACAAAACTTGTACAACTGGGAATCCACCAAATAGACAACTAGTGAGCGAAATGTAGGCTCTGGGGGTGGGTGGGGTGGGGTGGATTATTAAGTCTTCCTTCTCAAAGATATGTTCACAACCCAGGCCCACCCGGAAGTGGTGGGATGAAGAAGAGGCACGCACTGTCTCCTGGGCGCTGCCCAGGGAGGTCTGATCAGGTAACTCAGAAGCTGTCTGATTCCCAGTGAGGTGGAGAGTGGGGGGTGGGTACAGACTTCCCCCAGGCCACTCTGACCCTCAGTTACACAGCACGGATGTGCATGGCACAGGGGACCGCTTCTTTTCCTTTGGGTTCATTGAAGACTTGCCCCGGACCCTGCTGCCAAGAATGAGCAAGCCCAGGGCACTCGGAGCAACCGCAGGGCCCTTGCACATACTTGCTGTTGGGATGTGGGGGTCGGGGAACCTGGAACTGACTCCTCAGGGATCCTGTATTTAGGGGGGTAGTCAGATGCTTTATGCAGGCTTTCAGCTGAGGGGCTGCCCTTGCCCCTCGCCTCCCCACATTACTCAACAACACTCAGGGTGTGTTCTCCGTGAGGCCTCGCAGAGGGTGGGTTTGTTCAGTGTGGCCTTAGCAGCAGAGTGCCCCCTCCCCGCCCCGCCCCTGCCTCCCTGTCCTCCTGCCCAGGTGTGAGGGGAGAGAGGGTGCTTATGCCACCCCCAGCACCAGCGCCAGTGCCCAGGTGTCCGCCACGCTAGCTGGGCTCAGAGGACGCTCCCTTTCATTCCCTCGGACTTCCCTGGGGGCTGGGGAGGGCAGGCGTGACATTCCTGATTGTTGAGGTGCTCTTGGGAACATCGTTAACCAGGGTCAGGCTTGGGGTCCCGCTGGCACATTTTAAAAATGGAGTCTGCAAATGGGCGCGCAGTGGAAACTGGGACTTTACTGCTGCCCGCCCCCCGTCCCTCCCTGGCTCAGTGGGTCAGTCGGGCATGGACATGGGTAGAAAGGGCTCTGTGCAGGGACACTGTGGCACCCTGTAAGTGACGGTCTGTAAGTGACGTTGCAGCAGCTTGGCAGGTCTAGTCAGAGGCCGTATTCTGTAAGTCACCGTAGCTGGGGACACGAGGAGTCCCCCCAGGGACCTGGGGTTAGAGCAGCCAGTGTCAGCACGAGACTCCCGTAGTGGGTGTGAAGATGACACATCAGCCCCGGAGTTGTTCTCTCCCGATGAGCAGTGTTGTCATCGGCCATAGACCCGGTTCCTGGAAACCCCGCAGTGAGCAGGAAGGAAGCAGGTACGTGCTTGTGTCGGGCGGGCTGGTAAGGGGAATGGGCCCGGCCAGCCGATAAGGGGAGTGGGCCCGGCCAGCGATCCCTGTTGTGCACTTGACAGGGGCCCTCCTCCAAGCCCACCTTCTCCCAGCTGTCCCGCCCCACGTCTGCTCTGCACCTGCCTCCCAGGCCTCAGCCCCTCACCACGTGGCACTGTAGTCGTCCGTCGCCTCTGAAGGGTGTTCCTGGGTGCCTGGCACAGCCCCTGGTGGTGCTGCCGCGGCCACCCACCCCTGCAGGCGGAGCAGGACTTGGGAGCCCGTGGCGTAGGTTTCTTCCTGATCCGTGAGCACGAATACGGGAGAGACGCCTCAGTAGATCTGGGCAAAGTGCTCAAATGGTTATCTTCTTGCGGGGGCGAGGGGAAAAAACCTAACAAACAAAAACGCTTGTCTTGTCTCAGAAGGAGAAAAAAAGCAAAGAGAGCAGAGCCCAGCCTGGGCTAGGTGCGTGCTGACAGGGCGAGGGGTGGGGGCGCTGCCCTCTGCATCTTCAGGGAAGCCGCGCCCGCTGCAGGCAGCCTTTGTTTCCCCCCAGTGACCGGGCGACGATTGTGTGCCTTCTCCTCAATTCATTTCTTTTTTGCAGTTTACCCGCACCCCCACTCGCAGGCTAATCTGGGCAAAAGAATGTCTTGTTCCGAGTTAGTGGTTACAAGCTCTGCATAATTAATCCTTCAGCCATAGCTGAAGGCGAAGGATCACACAGGATCCTGGCTTCTCCTCCCTCCCGTTCGAAAACACTCCCCTTGCCCGGGTTAGAAGGAGGCAGTGGGATGGGGCGGGGCAGGGGGTGGTGGGGAGACATTCTGGGCAGAGGCATGTGATTCCGAGTTCATTTCACTCGGAGGGGTGAGCGGACCCGATGGGGAATCACACAGGTGAGGTGATGGACCCCCAAGCCCAAGAGCTATTCCCTTTCGTGCTTATACATGGGCTGGTCCCCTGGTCCCCTCCCGGGCAGACAGCTCAAGAATGAATATATGTTCCCCAGATTTGGAGGCCAGCTGCACACACTAGGGGTAAAGGCAGCTCAGATAGAGAAGGGAGCACCAAATAAAGGGTGTTGGGAAGATCCGCCCAGGATGGGAGATGCATGCTGAAAGTAGACTCTAGACCGAACAGGATTGCCACTCAATGCCTCTTTTGCAAACCACAGAACCCAAAAGGAGAGAGAGAGAACAAAAGGGAATGCCCTGCCACAGAGGCAGGGTGGGATGGGGGGGAATGGGGGTGGGAGGGATACTGGGATCCATGGTGGTGGAAAATGGGCACTGGTGGAGGGATGAGTATTTGATCATTGTACAACTGAAACCCAAGCACAAAATTTGTAAGTCTACAACTGTACCTCATGGTGTTTCACTAATAAAAATTAAAAAAAAAAAGAATGAATATATGAATGTGACTCGGGCGCGGAGACCCTCTTCCCTTCACGTTGTGAACCGTACACCAAGAAAGCAACCTTGGCCGTCTGTGCTGGCTCTGTGTGTAACGCCTGTGTGTCTTTTGTTCTCTCCCTCCCTTGCCCGCGGCACGTAGCACGTGTGGAGTGAGAGCGAGGACTGCCTGCCTTTCTTGCAGCTCGCACAGGATTACATCTCCTCCTGCGGCAAGAAGACGCTCCAGGAAGTCTTGGAAAAAGTCTTCAAGTCTTTCAGACCCGTAGGTGCCTGCTTGACTTCTAAAGACATCTTGTTTTTGAATAACGCGGATGGGGGGGAAAGTGGGCAAAGCCTGGCATGACTAATTGTTTGTCTCTTGTCTGCCCTGTGGCTTAAAGATAGCAGCTCGTGGAGGGAGGCTGAGGGCGGGAGGGGGAGATGGGATGCGACACAGCTGTTGGTTGCTGGGGTGCTGGTTATTTCGAGCCTCACTTGAGTTGAGGATCTCTGATAGGGTGGGAAGCAGGCAGAGCCTGTATGAGGCGAGTGCGTGTTCCTGCTGCCAGCCAGGGGAGCCGAAGCAGAGTGCTTGGAAGTGTCATGGGGTTTCTGTGACGAATGAGGGCTGGATGGCGCGGGTGGGGGCTTGCCAGAAGGCCCTCCCCCATTGAATTCATGCTACTTCTGCTCTTTTCCCTGGTTAGAGACTCTCCCGTGGACACCTTGTTTTCTTGCTGCCCCCAATGCCTGCCCCTCCACTCTCAGTCTTAGGTTCTGTGTGTCTCTGGCTACTGGACAGTTTGCTTTCACCATAGCCGATAAACATGTCAAGTGGATGCTCACCCTTACTCTGGGGAATGCCCGTTTTCCCTCTTCTGTATTGGATGATCAAGCCAAGACCAGCATCAGAAGGCTTCATCCTGTAGTGGGTGTGAAGATGACACATCAGCCCCAGAGTTGTTCTCTCCCGATGAGCAGTGTTGTCATCGGCCATAGACCCAGTTCATCCAAGCCCCTCTCCCTGCTCCACTGCACACATGTGCAGTGGCTACTCTCTACATGTTCAATGGTGTTTGTGCTAGAATTTCTATTCCTTTTCCCAGAATACTAAATAACCTCCAACTGTAGCTGGGGAGAGAGCTCCAAGGGATAGTGCAGTCCCTGGCTCTGGCTGGCACCCCCTGCACATCACTGGGGTGGCCTGGTACCCCACCCTTACCATCAACCACATTGCTGGGCTGAGCAGTTGCCCGTAGTGGGCCTGAGCAGAGCACCCTCAGGCTTGCCTCGTGGGGCTGAGTGTTGATGGGGCAGCCCCCAACCTTACCCCCTCCACTGCTGGGATATGTACTCTATTTTCAAAATGTTATCTTCGTGTGTGCTGACATTTCAACTCTTCTTTCGCATCTGTTAGCTGGTTGGGTTGATAGCACTCCTGGCTTGATGGTACTTCCAATATCTCAAGTCTACTTTATAGATCCAAGTCTGTATTTCTGTGTCTCACACCTGGAACCTTGTTTCTTTTGTCTGTTTCAGCTTTAGACCTAGCCATTCGTTGGTGCCTGAGATGAGGGTGTCTTCCTCCAGAGCCAGAGAGATTTTTTTGTCTGCTTTTTTGTTTTTGAGCCCTACCCAGCTGTGCTCAAGGCTTACTCCTTGCTCTGTATTCAGAGATCACTCCTGGCAATGCTTGGGGGAGTTGGGGATCACGCTGGGGTCAGGGCAAGTGTCGTGCTTCCTGCCCTCGCTCTCCTGCTCCCCCCAAATTATTATTTTTTAAAAATTTTTATTAGTGAAACACCATGGGGTACAGTTGTAGACTTACAAATTTTTGTGCTTGCGTTTCAGTTATACAATGATTTTTAATCTGCTTCTGCCTGGGTCTGGGGCCTGTTAGTCTGAGGCCATCTCCAAACAGTGCAAGATTTGTGGCGGTAAGATTTGTGGCACCCTGTAGGTGACGGGACGGCCCAAGGCACAGCCTCCCCCAGCTCAGCCCTGTCCTGAGCGTTGTCGTGGTGGGAGCTATCCTGGTTTGGTGGTGTGGACACAATCGGTATTTCTTTGTCCCAGCTCTGCAGCCTTGGTGTCTGCTGGGGACCCCTTTCCTTTTTAATTAAAAAGGACTTTATGACTAAAAAACAATTCAAGTTGGGGAGCATGTCATCATCATAGAGTGTATTCTAAAAGAGGAAAAGGAGTCTGATTTTTTTGTTTGTTTTGGGGCCACACCTGGTGGTGCTCAGGGCTTACTCCTGGCTTTACATTCAGAGATCACTCCTGGTGGGCTTGTGGGACCTTATGGGGTATCAGGGATCAAACCTAGACCATACATGTACAACAAATGCCCTACCCACTGTACTATCGCTCTGACCCCAGAGGCCTGATTTATTTTTTCTTTTTGGGTCACACCTGGCAATGCACAGGCTTTTCACTCAGGAATTACTCCTGGCGGTGCTTAGGGGACCATATGGGATGCTGGGAATCGAACCCGGGCCGGCCATGTGCAAGGCAAATGCCTTACTCGCTGTACTATCATTCCAGACCCGCCTGATTATTTTTTTTTTAATTTTTATTAGTGAGACACCATGAGGTACAGTTGTAGATTTACAAATTTTGTGCTTGGGTTTCAGTTATACAATGATCAAGTACCCATCCCTCTACCAGTGCCCGTTTCCCACCACCACGGATCCCACCCCCCATCCTCCCCCATCCCACCCTGCCTCTGCTGGGCAGTTTTTTTTCCCTTCTCGCTGTACCCTTCCATGTGGCAGAAGAAGAATCTTTCTGGGGCCTGTTTCAGAAGAGTGGGTAAGGCCTCACCCAGCAGGCATGCCCGCGTGACCTCACCCCTCCCAGCAGTGCCATCGCCTGGCAGCAGGGATCGCCATGGGAAATTTGGAGGGACTCAAGCATCCAGAGCAGACCCAGGATGCAGGAGTTTGGGGTCTGTCAGGGTGGGCTCCTGCTAGATCCCAGGCTTGGCCTCTGCCCCCAAGCAGGCTCCCGATGCAGTCAGGTTATAGCTGTCAGTCAGTGCCTTCGAGACCAAACAGCTTTGTGTGTTAGTTCAACAGGCTCGACTCTAATTCTTCATTCTGTTTAAGAAGGCATTCATCTATAATCCAGCTTTTTAAAATATATCCCCACAGAAGAGTTGATACCGATCACTCAGTCTGTAGAATTTCAGTGACTTTTTGTCATTCTCCCACTCTGCCTCCCTTTTCCAAATGATTTTTTTTGGTAAATTTTCTATCACTTTGGTGCTTTCCAAGTCAATGTTTGATTTAAAAGTACATCGTTTTGTCATTTATTCCATCCACATTCACTGAGCACTCACTGGGCACTGAGCTAGAAGGGTTCTGTTCCCAGCACTTGAATAGAGCAAATGAAAATCACTGGTCTTGGTGGGGTTGACAGGAGAAAGAGAGAGAGAGAGAGAGAGGGAGAGAGAGAGAGAGAGAGAGAGCGCGTGTGTGTGTGTGTGTGTGTGTGTGTGTGTGTGTGTGTGTGTGCGCGTGCGTGCATGCGTGCATGCGTGTAGGTGAGAGGGAAAGAGGAATTGGTTCAACCTGTAGCAGGTAGATGATAGGGAGAATGGAACAAGAAGAGGCCAGTGTGGCCATCGAAGGGGAATGAGATATGACCTGTGGGTCCTACAGGGCCCAGAGTGTGTGGCTTGTATTTGCTCTGGCGCTGTGCAGTCTCGGGGGTGGAGGGGCAGTACCCAAGGGTGTGTTTCTGCCTGGAAAGCTCCCCCTGGCTCCTGAGTTGAGAGTAGGCTGTCACTGTGGTGTGATGGGGCAGCCTGGGACTATCAGCCTGGGAGAGACCAAGGGGCCGGGGCTGCGTGGCCATAGGGAGGCCGGAGGGAGGGCCCTGGGTTCTGGAGAGGCTACGAGAGCAGACCTGCAGGAATCTACCAGGCCTTAGGAAAGAAGGCCAGTGCCAACCCAGAGTCCCCTGCTGGGCTGTGAAGGGGGCAGCAGGTCCCCTGAGGGGCCAGAGGGACAGCTGGAAGGCTGCAGGGGCAGGAGCTCTATCCGGTATGTACCTGTTAGCATTTGAGATGCCCATTAAGCATCCAGGGAGACCAAATGAGGAGGCGGCACAATATTTTTCAGTTGATTTCCTCAAATTTCATGTATTTATTTCTTTATTTTTTTCCTTTTGGGGTCACACCCAGCAATGCACATGGATTACTTCTGGCTCTGCACTCAGGAGTTACTCCTGGTGGTGCTCAGGGGACCATGTGGGATGCTGGGAATCAAATGCGGGTCGGCCGCGTGCAAGGCAAATACCCTACTTGCTGTGCTGTCTCTTCAGCCCCATCCTCAAATTTTAACTGGGGGAAAAAAAATCCCTCTTTCCCAGTGGTCCTCACAGCTGGTTCCCTTGCTAAGAGTCCGTCCGCTTGCTTGCACTTGGCCTCTGTCTGTGGCCGTGGGGTCTATCTGCAAGCAAAATACAGGCTGAGTCAGTGGGAAGGACTTTACTATGGAACTGATTTTGCTGTTTACCAAATCTCTGGCTGTACTTTGGGAACTGGGACCCCCACATGGGAAGTGAAGGGTCAGGGTGTGGGATGGGGCAGACCACAGTCCCAGACCACCCAGATTCATGGCTGAGAGCATGGGATGCATCACGTTCTGGACACTCAGGATTGATGGGAGATGGTCAGGCAGCAAGGGCCCTGTCCCGGCACAGCCTCCCGCCACGGGCTAGGGGCTTGGGTCTGAGGGGACAGCACCATGTCTGGTCCTTGTCCAGTGGCCCCTCGAGTGGGGAAGGTCTGAGTCCTGAGCACCCTCTGGCTGGGTAGGTTTGCTCCCCTGGGGCAAGGGCTCATGTATGTGAGTGATGGTGTCCAGTGACTGTCCTGGTGTGGGTCTCTCCATGGAATGTGGCCATTAATGCTCAGAGGTGCCCACCAGTCGCCATGATGGAGGCAGCTGGGCTGCCACTGGAGTCCCTAGGAGTCCTGTCATCTTCCTGAAGTAGCCCTCAGATGGAAGTAGCTGGGCATCACCCAAGTGAGCTAGATAATAGGATAGTGGTTAGGGTCAAAATAATGGTGGGCAGGACTGGAGCAATAGCACAGCAGGTAGGGCATTTGCCTTGCACGTGGATGGCCTGGGTTCGATTCCCAGCATCCCATATGGTCCCCTGAGCACTGCCAGGGGTAATTCCTGAGTGTAGAGTTAGGAGTAATCCCTGTGCATCACTGGGTATAACCCAAAAAGAAAAAAAAGCAAAGCAAAACCAAAAATTAATGGTGAGCAAT